GGTGAAGGGCACTACAGTATGGTAATAATTGTACTGTCAATATGCTGTCAGGAAAGATGGTTTACTGTCATCTAAGGAGCTTTTCTGTAACTAATTCTTGTTCTTTTTGCATGCGGCTGGTGGAAGTTCACTGCTTTAGACATCAAGGAATGGATTATTTTAATTAGTAGTAATCAGTATTAAAATTAGAACCTGCATAACGCCGAACAATGAAGTCATCACAAAATGCACAAGAAGAACATAGTCATTTGTGCTCACGTACGACATATATTGAAAATACCACTTCTCCCTCTGTAGCTATGTTCGAGTTCTGGCGATGTTGGGGAGGAGTATCTATATTAAACATCTGGTCTACTTTTGAGTGCTTCGAGCAGCACCTGCATGCGATTGAGTTCTTAAATTGGCCAGAAAAGCTGCTGAGGTTGACAGTCAAGATAGAGGTCAGCGGCTGTTGTATACTTATTATTCTATTTGGACAGGTAGGAAGGTGCCTTTCCAGTCAGCAGTCTTGGTGAAAGATAAAGGTTTTGTGACAGCACCTCTCTTGGATAGAATATGGAGGACTGCAGATAAAGTAGGATTTTAGGCTATGGGGATTATCAAATATTGCAGTGCTGCATGCTGAGATTTATCGGTGACCCAGCCTTGGTTCCTATTTGCCTTTGCCAAAACCCCTTTGAAGGGTGACAGCATTCACAAACATTAAAATTGTAAGCAGGCAAAGTACAGTAGTCAGGGGGTTTATTACAGGAGAAATGGAAGAGAAAAAATTGGGAAGATTACAGTGGAAACCATGTCATGGTGCATAAGAAGTCAGGCTTCAGTCTTGGGGAGAACTGGCATCCAGCCTAGTTTAAATTAGACGTTAGGGTTTTTTCTCTTTTTAAACTTGATCTTGGGTTTCCTTCTGTCACCTCGTATCCTTTCACAGGCAGTAGCACTGTAGCCATGCATATTTATTAGATTCAGACATATTTTGCAAGTCACCTTCACAACTTCTTTTCTTTTCCTGGAAAAACTGGTTGGTTATGTAGAGGCCGAATTTGCAAGTCTAATCTTCAGCGTTTATTAACCCTTATTATTCTGGTTGCTCAATGGACAGATAAGTTTTCAGCCTTATTTGCAATTTAATTTCCTTCTATATATTAAATCACAGGCCATTCTTCTCTTTAGATTTCATAATCCAGATTCCTTCGCACATGAAAGCAACCTGCATATTCAGCATCCGGGGAGAGACAGAGTGGTCCTATTTGAGAGAACAGTGGTCTTGCTGCCTGAGAAAGAGCAAGAACTGATTGTTAGTACTAAACTCCTTCCTTTCTGGGAGCCACAGGCAAGAGGAGCTGGTTTGCATACCTACAAATGCTTTTTCTGCCTTAAGCTCACGGTGAAGCTACAGTAGAAAGGCAAGTGCTCTTCTTCCTCCCCAGACTCGAGACACCTCTGAATCTGTGCTAGAAGCATTCTATTTGCTTGTGGTATTTCCAGACCTGCTGAAGGCCTAGAAAGCACAGCCACCAATACAAACACAGTTGCTTATTGAGGCAGAGGTTGGTGCACCAGGAGACAAGTTGTAGGAATAAACACAGCTGTGTTTTTCCCATTACAGTGTTCCCATTTACTGAGTCAGTCACATACCTTGTCTGTGTAAAGGGGCAGGGTAAATAAGGCCTTGGGAATCACTAGGATTATAGGAGCTACTCTTAAGCTTCATCTTGGATAGGGTTCTCCAGTGTTTAAACCAAATACAGCTGTGGTTATAGCTATTAGAGGGAATGGTTAGAGCTTCTTAATAGTGGGGAAAACAACCTGCTATGGATTATACATACATATGGAGTATATGGAGTCAACCTTTGTAATCGATTGTGCTTTCAAGTGCCTAATTGCTTCCAATTCTACCATGACAGTCTTGTGCCCCCCAAGTACAGGTTTCAGATAAACCCTTCGGAGTTCCCCGTGAAGAAGACTCTTCCCCCTGAGGAGAAGAAACATTTTTATCTGCATCCCTGCACTTGAGAAGCTCCTGAACAGATTTTGATTGTGTTCCCATGTAAATGTCAACTCTGGGCAAACCCGCAGCCACAAAATACTACAGTTCAGGGTTTCAGAGGGAACAGTGGCCTTGTTTCCAGGAGAATAGCCTGAAACACAGAGACTTCCCACAGGCAGCAAGACCCAAGGGACCAGGCAAGGCTAGGAGGCAGTGTTCCAGCACTGGAGCAATTCCCACTGCTGCACCGAGTTAAGCTCATCTTCACCGCCGGGCTTAGGCTGGCTAACGGGCATCTCTGACCCTCATTTTCACTTCAAAAAGAAGTTGGAATGATGCTGAAAAGCGGGATTTTCTGTGCGGTCACAGGGTTAGTACTGGGCCAGCAGAAATGTCTGCATTAGGTTAGTGCTGCTGGTGTATAGAGCTCCCACCAGGCTTCCAGGCTGTAAGAAAACCCTCATGGCTTTAGCATTCAGGCAGATGCATTTGTCACATGGCAACAGCACAATAAAAGGACTTGAAGCCACGAAATGTAAGGCTCAGTGGAAAAGCAGCCTTGAGTTACGTGGATGCAAAAGAGAGAATTCAGCACCTGTGGCAATGAACAAAGTCAGGCCCTGTTATCAGCTTGGACTGGTGCCACCAGCAGAGACGATCTGCTGTTTCCAATGTGCCATCTCAGTTAAAGCTGTTTGGACCTGGCCTGGGAATACATTGCTGGGATTATCATCACAACAGGCTTGGGAAGCAGGGCTCCCTTCCTGAAATTCACTGTAGTCTTTGCAATAAAACTAATCCGATTGCATCCTCCAATTCCCCTTTCTGCAGCATTGCCTGGGAGAGACATACAGGATACGATCCAAGTGGCTTTTCTGGCATCTCATGTACTAACCAACATCATCCTGCCAGCACTTCCCAGAGGGAGTTGGCTTCACTAGGTCCCAGTCTCCAATTCCCCTCTCCTCACCCCCCCTCCAGTTTTTCAATTAAGTAGAAATTAATTCCACTTCTATGAACCACTGGGCACATTCTGCTCCCAGGTACTGATGATAATGCAGAATGAATCACTTGGTGCAAGTGCTGGGTGGAAGCCCCAATCTCGTCATACCCACACAGTGCAAACTTCCATCAAGCAGGAA